TTTTTTTTTTTTTAAAAAAAAAAAAAAAAAAAAAAAAAAAACACTTCGCACACTTATCTTTCCTACTGTAAGTATTTGAAGGAAGTAGCTTACTCCAATTATTGATATTAAAACGTTCTTCTTTCCTAAATGAAATTCTGAATTTTAAACGTATTTACGAAAGATACGTTTACTTTGTAAAATTCACTGCGCGAGTTTGTTCTTATTTCGCACGGAGCTCCGAGTTTACATTGAATTGTGGAAAGAAGAAATGAAGGTAGAAATGATATAGACACGAGGTGGTACGCGCCAGCACACGCGACTCGTGTGCGCGATATTGTATATAGGGACCTCCTCGGCATGGTGCGGTGGCTCCCGTGAGCGCGGACCACATACCTGCAAACGAATGCTCTTAAAAGGGAGGGCAGAGCCAAAGAACAGGTCGTTAAAATGTAATGACATTGTTGTTTTTAATGTTTTGCCCGACCAAAACCCCTTTAGCACTCTTCCTCCTTTCCTCGTTTACGCGAAAGACAAAGAGGAACTAATTGCGAATTAGCCGTCCTGTTTCTATCGGTGTTTGTTGCTCACAGAAAGTATCCCGTTATACTTCATCAATTTTTCTGCGAAAGCGTTTGTTAAGTTTCTCACGTTCAAAAAAATATTGTAGAATGAAAATATAATAATAACATGATTACGATAAAGACGTATATGATAATAATAATAATAATAATAATAATTGCGATAACATTTCTAAAAAAAGAAGACACAGTATTTATTGAAATCTTGTAAAAAAAGTTAATAAAATTCCTGGATATTAAAGATTTCTTTAATCTTTTAATACGATTTTAAATTAAACGAGTGAAACTGAAATGTAAGTCGCAAATAAAATACAGTAAAAATTAGTTGAAGATAGGAATTCTTTCCACAATAGAAACGGTATTATAACTGTATGTATTATTTTCTATAATTGGAACCGCGAACCTTCGTATAAAGAAAACAAATAATGTAATATCAGTGAATTCTCTTATTCTATTTTATCAAGTATTAATTTTTACTGTCATTCTGATTTCTTTATAAAAATTCGCGAGAAATGCCTGAATACTCGGATGTGTGTGCCATATTTATTATTAAGTGCTTAATTATTATCTTGCATTATAAAGAAAGCCCGAAAAAAAAAATTTTTTTAATTAAAAGAAATTAAATTTAAAATTCAAATTTCAAAAATTATGAAACTTCTTAGTTTTTAAAAATAAAGAAACACATTCCCTGATTTTTCCAAGTTTTTTCAAGTGATAAACATTCTAAAATGGGACAAAAAGAAAATATAGAAAGCAGAAATAGAAAGAAGATGATACATTTTTATTGTTTTTCGTTAACAAGAAGTTCCAAAATATACGAATTATGTATCATATTAAAGGATTATTTAAATAAAGTCGAATGACGTAATCATGAAGAAATAAAAAAGTTATATCAAAAACAATATATTTAAAAGTTGTTAAGTAATTTCAAGGTATCTCGGGAATCAAGTAATAAAAATCATACTTAATTGTATATTATTAGTATTATAGGGATGAAACATCCAACTGTCACGAATTTTGACAGAAGTACTTTAAATGTATTTTTACCGACAAAAAAATTTAATGCCAAAATGTTTGATTGAGATTTCTACTTATTATTCTGTTATCCCACTTCCCTTTCTGCTTAAGGGCGGGTGATTTCCATGCGAAGCGATTTCCACCTCGCTTCCCCCTACCTAGATGCGTAATTTCCACCAACCCTCTCCCTACTAAAGGGTGCACGAATTCAATGGAAGCAACTTCCATTTCATCTCTTCCCCTCCCTCGCTAGAAACGAGCGATTGTCCACGCATAATAACTTACTTTAAAGATTTATGTTTAATGTCAAGTAATGTTTAAATAAAATATACAATTTTATTCAAACGCGTTTTAGTGGCATTAGACTTTTTTGTCGGTGAAAATTTATTTAGGGGCATTCATTTGCCATCATTTAGAGTGTCTGTCAGAATTTATGAAAATGCGTGTGTGTGTGTGAGACGTTTGATGTTTTCGGAAGTTTATCTATCCTTTAATACGATATATAATTTATACATCTAGACGCGCGCGTCTTGATGTTATCTGAACGAAATTTTAATGTTCCCCTTAAAAATTTTACACTTTCTATTAAAAAGACTCGATCGTAATTCCAGCAAAGGTTTTTATTCGACACCAAAAATTGTTTAAGAGATACTATATTTTTATGTATATTTAATTGATGAGAGACATTCGTACAACGCTCGATAATCGACGAAGCCGATTCGGAATCACGAAACGTCGATATTCTCACCTTGTCAGACCTATGAGACCGACCGATTAAGTCGGACGGTAGCTGTGAGCTATGGACCAATCGTGGACAGTCTCCGTTAGAAAGGAATCGATTACGGGTTCGCTACCGCGCAACAGTTTAGCTTGGAACTTAACTGTTGCGTCTAAGAAGAGCTATCATTAAGTCCGGAATAGGGGCCCGGGCATTAGGATTAGTGGCCGAAACGTTTTGGATAGGCTTCTGTATCGCTCGAGTTCGTCTCCGGGCCTCTCGCCCACGAAGGAGGAGGACCGCGATCATCGTAATTCGATCAGCTGGTGTTGAGTTCCTCGTTCGTCGTAGCGGAGGTACCAGAGAGAGATTACATTTGCGCTCTCGGAATACACACCAGCGAGTATATACGTTACGAAAAAAAAAAAGAGCGCAAATTTGCGGAGGATTTGAAGCCAGGCCATATTCGATCTAATACGTAAAAATTACTTTCCCTAAGTTACTACTGTCCACGATTTGTAATTGTATATAGCCTTGACGAATATCGAAGTTACACACGATTGCGTTCTTTCCTGCGGTGGAAAGCGATATGCGCGAACACTGTCATACTTCAAGCTGAGCCCAAAATCACTTGGACTGCATTAGAGGGTCGCACTATCTCAGCGCTACTCTTATTTTACTAATCTAATAAATGATAAAGACAGAATGGGAGATACTATAATAGCTTCGATAACGCACTGATATTATACAAATGCAGCTAAATGCAAACAACACCTGTCCATAATCGTTAATAACAGAAGCGAGCGACAGGACTCTCCATAGTTTTCACATCATCATCGATATACGCAGAATTCCGGAGCGATGAGAGTGCGTCTATCGCGTGCGCGCGTACAGGCGTCGAGGGCATTCGCGTATATATGCATATATACGCACGCGGAATATACACGCATTCATACACACATGCACATGTATATGCGAAACAAATACGCGAGAATGAAATGCGCTTCAAATTTCGCAACAGACGAGCTCTCGCTGAACGCGGACTCTTGACTCTCTGGGAGTTACAGCGATTTCCGCAGCAGCTGGAGATCCAGCTAGAGCGAAATACGTAATGCGCGAGCTAAGACACGGCCGCGCGCGGGGGGCTCGCTCCGCGAATTGGTTTCAGGTGAATCCAGGAAGCCTTGGCTTTCCCTTAGAGGGACTGTCACTCACCTCGGTGTACACGTCACCTTCGTTGTCGCTGTTTCGCCCGCGAACTGCGCACCAATACGTCGCCGGTCTTCTCGCGTGAGCACACGCAGAGCAACAGGTATTCTAGTCGCCACTCAGGCGACTAAGAATCTCGCGTCTCTCGCGAGCGGACGGAGAGAGAGAGAGAGAGAGAGAGAGAGAGAGAGAGAG